CAAGACTGTGCCTGTATCAATGTCAAATGCACTTAATAAAAGAAAATGATGCAAATAAAATAAAAATTCCTACACAACCTGTACACTGTACAGAATTCATGTTAAGCTATTCGTATTCCATTGAGTGAATTACTAAATAAATGAAAGAATGAAAAAAGAGTTCAACCACTACCTAGAAAACCTCCTCTCTATTTTCTTTTGTATACTTGTATGGTTTCGGGTATTTAAAAAAATAATAAAATAAATAACTATTGATGCCTGATCATGAAACCCTCTTGCAATACCATCGGACTCCTATAGGTAAATTTTAAACATTTAAATGGCAATGTTTTAGGTAAGATATATGTAAAATATAATCCCATCTGTAAAGTTCTACAGGCCTTAAACAGTCTGATTAGTCTAACTATAGAACAGTATATGGCTGCCCAGTAGTTGTGTAGCCCAACTCGAATAATACATTAAATTAAATAAGTATTTGTTCATCATATACATGTGTATAGGTCTTTGATAATATAATAAAAAACAACTTCTTAAACAGGTTTGCTCATCAGCCTTTGAACAGATTTTTTAACCCTACCCCTATTAAAAGAATTTTACATGATGTTCATTTTTTGATTGAATTTGGATTTCCTTGTGCTAATTTAACTATATACAATTAAAACCCCGTAATTAATTCGATACCGAAAACATTTAAAGAGAACTGTATTTTGTTTCATAGAACATTTTCTTTTATCAGTTGCAAAAAAGTTCATTTACTATTCAGTATCAAACGATTTTAAGCCATTATTTATTGATGCAGTAACGTTATTCAACTTTAACAGAAACACAGAAAATTACTGTGAAAAACATTTTCAATGTAAGGACAAAATATTAAATGAGCCGTGTATAATAATATTTATTAGTGATGAAAAATCAAAATTGCACTTTCTTTACATTTACACCTTTTGGTACATCTGTTATGTTTGTTGGATGAATCGTATGATTATTTGGCTTTGTTTTCATTTATGTACATTATTTAAGTTTAGAAAGTTTGCTGTGTGAAAAGAATATAAGAAATTGTGGTGGTAATTGAAAGTTGTTTGGTGTATTTGTATATAGAGATATAGAAAAAGCTTCAAAATAAAGCATTAAGATATTTTGTGGCAGAATGTTTTAGAAGACAAAGATAAGTTTTTCTCTTCAGTATTGAGAAGCTTTTTACATGCAGCCTCGGCACAGAGTAATTTTGTGCAGTGAAATGTTCTATGGTGGTCTTAATTTACATACCAGGGGCCCGTTTCAACAAAGGTCGTAGATTTAAGCCTTAGCTTAGGTGTACTTCCGCGACTTACGCCAAAATATAGTCAGGCGTAATTTGCGTTTCACCAAGTGGCGTAAGTCTAGTCGTAAACGATACGCTTAGTCGCAGGACTAAGTCCTTGACAACGTTGCATTGCGCAGGCGCAAAAAATATAAACATTGTTCACTGCCGACAAACATGTATATAATTTTAGCACGTAAAAGAATAGAATAACACAAATTATAGAATAATAAATACTTGCACTGATTGAAACATGCATGGATTTATAGGGTCATGTAGGATACATGTACTTTATACATGTTATAAGAAATCGATTCTAGGTTTTTACAATTTTTCAATAACAAAAGTCTTATAAATTGAAAGTTAAAAAAGATCGTACATGTATTTCAGAATTTTATTAAAAACTAACCTGTTTTTTTTTTTTGGAATTTTAATTATATACAGCACCCCCTCTCCCCCCTCCCTCTTCCCGAAATTTTATACAGGTTAATGACTTTGCCTTTGATAATCATGTCATGATTCGATAATTACTGAATCTACTGATAAACTACTAATAAGTTTAAGACAGAATACGATTTTAAAACATTATTTTCATAAGATATGTATACTTAATTGAAAGCAAAAATAATGTATAAAAAATGCAGTTTACATAAATTTATTATGTTCATAAGTGCACATTTTGAGTCAAGAAATAAATTTTTACACGTTTACTTCTAAGGTACATGTAAGACAATCCTTTCTAAGTCTATTAATTTTTTGTCAAATGATTCATTATAATTTCTTATTGACTATTAAAATGGCACAAAGGTTCATGAAATAATTTCGAAATACCGTATAGCAGGTTATTTTAGCGGGTTGCTAATTTTGGCTTATTTTGGTGTTTTGATGGCAGCCCGCTAAAATTTCAATCGCTAAAATATTTAGTACTCTTTTTCGTGTTCATCTGCAAAGAGATGAAACCCTATGTCCGCTAAAATAAATTACGCCAACATTTTTGGCATACAAAACGCCAAATTTTACACCCGCCAAGAAAACCCGCTATATACGGTACTAGACTCTAGGTACAGTCAGTTATAGACAAAAATTCTTCACTATCATTATGAAGCTTAAATTTAATGTACCGTTTTACAAGTATGCAGAGAGAGAGAGAGAGAGAGAGAGAGAGAGAGAGAGAGACAGAGAGAGAGACAGAGAAAGAGAGAAATGACTACAAAGATATTCTTACAGAAAGTCTCTGCTTGCGTGGCCTCTCTTTTAGAAATTAAGTTACATTTAGTCTTTATTTTTTTTTCATTAGAATTTAAGTTATGCAAGAAATCAAAAATATGTATATTGTTCTCTTACATGTGCTTTATATGCGCTCAGATTATGTTATAGTATTTTAAAATATACTCTTTTAGACGAAATCATGAAAAATAAAGATGTCTTCTGCATCAATATTTGTCTGAGAAAAAAATATATTTTTAGGAATAAATCATTTCTTGAACTTAACTGTGTAATTATGACCGTCTTACATCGATATAATAAAAGTAATAATGTTTTCCCAATTTAAAAATTTCTTATTGTCTATGAGATCCCTATCCGCGGGTTTCGTCTATGATTCTCAGGGACTTCACTTGTCTCAGGTACACATATACCTAGAAGAATAATTACCTTCGCCCCTAACTCTGTACATTAAATGTTAATTAATCTGCAAATTCGGGAAGTTCTGAACCCTCTCTCCGATCCTTTCGAAATCTACGCTTGTGGACGAGGAGTAAATAAAAAATGAACTCTTCGAACACAATAAAAAACCTATCTGGTTTTATAACGTTAATTATTTTTTCTTTAAGTTAAATGTAGAAAATTACCAGAAAGAGGATGACTTTGTTTCTGAGACCAATTTTTTTTTTTTTTTTACAAAAAATATATTTTTGCGATTTTTTTTTCTTCAAAAGAGACGATTTTAATGGATCTCCCGCCTCCATATAAATATAATGGCAGTGTCCATGTTTTGCTATGGTAAACGCAAAATATGGGTCAGACCAAAAAGTAAAATAAGACACAAAGACCAAAGCGTAACAGAGGGACGGACGGACATCCCGATTACTATATACCCTCCCACTTTTCAGGCAGGGGTATAAATATATAGCTACATGTATATATGTATAGTCGAGTTACAATACCTTATACATACAATACAATAATCAAATGTGTGTGAATGCTTTGTGAAAACGTAAGACATGGTGGTCGAAGAAATTTCTATTAAGAAAATCTTTTCTTCTGAGAAGACTTAATTAAGAATGTTGTTACTCCAATCAACTACGCCCCCAAGTGGTTGTAACACCCCCCCCCCCCTTCATAGTATGTATAATTTAATAATACAATGTTTGTATTTAAGAGACTGCTTAGAACCAAAATTTTTCTTTAGAATTCGCTTACTTGTTTTAAAATTAGTTAAATTACTTAATTTAAACTTTACGCCCAAACTTACGCCTACCCATGAGTAGACGTCGAGTTTTGGCCTGAATTTAGTCAGGTGTAACGATATGCTCTTTAATGAAACGCAACTCTTCGTGCTAGTCCTGACTTTACACCGGCGTAGCGCTACGACTGGGCGTACGACCTTTGATGAAACGGGCCCCTGGGTATTAAATTATCTGTCATTAAATCTATCATAAAATTTGGCAAAAACCAAATGTATTCTGAAAAGCCTGAGAAAAAATAGCCTTCTAAGCTGAAAATGAACACTATTTTAGTAATACTGAGAATCTATACATTGAATTTTAACAATTATTCTAAAATTCAGAAAAATGACGTTACTTTCAAATGATTTCATAGCTAATTAAATTTTAAACGCCAGAAAAATAACATTTTTTTGAGTGCAGAAGGGTCAAATAACTGACTATGCGAATTAATTTGAAAGTAATTTTGTTGTCACAAATTTTAATTGAGTACTTTTGATGAAAAAAAGAAACTGTATTTGTGCCACTAATTTATCGAAATGTAAATTTTAAGGAAGAACTTTGAAAATTGATTCATGTGTAAGACATTATTACAATACAAAAAGGTCGCATTAATTGCTCTGTTGTGCTAAAAGAAGAGCACTGACCCTGATTTTTAGTTTGATTTTAGTGTAGATTAAAAAAAAAATAATATACTTGACAAAAATCCTCAATAATATTGATATCAGGATCCTACTCCTTAAGTCTAGATAAAATTAGAGTTCAATATCTTGGCGTTTTATTGAACGCCGAGTTTGCATTACTTCTACATACTTGTACATATTTCAAAACAGTCTGAATACTAGCGCTTTAACAAATATCGAACGTCCCGGTCTAAACAAAAAAATGTCAACAGCTCTTAAAACAGCAAGCTTTTGACGAGTCGAGGCGAATAGGTAAGATGCTGTTTTTTTTTCATACAAAATTAATATTTCTAATAGATATATAGAACACACATATTAACCACAATCAAATTTGTTCAAAACATATCATAACGCTATATGGGTGACCATGGTAACTAGTGCTTGTTTCGTTTAATTTTTAATATATCCTTAATCTATAATTAATGCTGTGATCGCTATAACATATATTTACACGTACATGTATATTTATTTTGTTTATCTTAAGGAATTTTCTTTTTTCAAAATGCGTGCTGAGTAATTTCTTATTTTATATTTCAGCAGACTGTGTTTCTATATGTATCATAGACAGTCAACATGGACATGCTAGGAATCAGCACTCAGTGTAAAGTACGAGAGTGCTTTAAATGTGCAGGAGACACGGAATTCTTCTGCAAGACGAGTAAACATGACCTGTGTCTACATTGTAAAGAGAGACATGTAATTGATTTAAATACCATCTATCATGACGTTGTGATTTACCGTGAGAAGTATGAATATGTCCCAAAACAAGAGACCTGTGTAAGACACCCAGATGAAATGTATCGAATGTACTGTCAAACATGTGAACTTCCTGTCTGTTTTCAATGTAAAGAACACAGAAAACACAGATTACTGGACATCAGAGCATCATATGAAACAAACCGTCAACAGCACAGAGAAATTATTCGTAACATTAGAAGTTATATTCTCTATGAGAGATGTTTTCTTCTGACTCGAATCAAATCTAATATAAAGAATTGTCCTGTGGAAATCTCTGAAAGTCAGGTAGAAATGTCAATGAAAGCCCAGAGACTAAAAAACCTTATAGACACTGTGATATGTGATATTAAAATCAAGCAGAAATCTTTTATGATGCATAGATTAAATCAACAGAAGAAAATAATGAAAGGACACATTGCACGCATAGAGAAGTATAGTCACAGATTTGAACAATTAGCAAAAAAGTCAGTAAAATTCCTCTCATTTTTGAAAAAAACTCATGTCCAAAAGATAAAGGGTACCTCAAATCTTACACAACAAACCTTGTTCTCCGTGACTAAAGTAATCAACTTTGACGATGTTATAACATGTAAAAGGCTACTGAGTAAAGTTCAAATCATAGAGACTGCAAGAAAAATTCTGAGCAATGAAGATATGATGTACCTGTTGTCTAGCCCCATGTTACTTAGATCTGTCACGGTTAAAGATGTTAGATGTGTGAGACACATTTCCCATGTGACATCAGACAAGGTCTGGGTCAGTGACAAGGACAATATTGTGTTAATAAACACTGAAGGTGATACACTATATAGTCTGAAAGGTTTAAATGTTTCAGGTCTGAAGTGTGTACACACGGTGAACGTGACAGGTGAACTCATCTATATAGACTGCTATGGTAATATAAACACATTATCCAAAGATAACAAAACACAGTTTACACTGATAGAGAAAACAGAAATATGGGAATCACGTTGCATCTTCTGTTCTCCTTCCAATGGATATTTACTTGTGATGTATAGAGATGATCCTATAGAAATGGCCAAGGTAAAACGGTATTACGCCAAAAAACGACTTATACAGACTGTTCAAAACAGACTGTATCGCAGACCTGTGTGTATCACGGAGAATCGCAATGGGGATGTTGTTGTGTCTGATATTGACCGTGTAGTGGTGACAGATCGTAGAGGTAGACATCGGTTCTCCTACACAGGTCCTCCATCAGGATCAGGACTGGCACCTCAAGGAATCTGTACAGACGTGATGTCACATATCCTGGTGTGTGATGATAACACGAACTCAGTGCAGATGATTGACAAAGATGGCCACTTTCTGTCACTTATATTGACACCACAACAAGGGATAAACAGACCAGTGTCCCTGTTTTATGAAGACAAAACTAACTTACTCTGGGTAGGATCATTGTTGAACAACACAGTGTGTTTATACAGATACATTGAGAGAAAACACTTAATTTGACTGGATTCTGCAGTTAGTAAATTAAATACTTTTTCGCAGAAATACACGATGAAACGGCGCATTAGAATTAAGTGAAGAGCTACATGTACATGTAAAAGGTTTCTTTTTTGTACACAAAATTAAATGTGAGGCATGTTAATTTCATGATTATTTTACAAGTAAAGTTTACAGCGATATTACTCTAGAAAATTAATTGTTCGTATTTTTTCGTAAAAATAAAAGCATGTTTATAACTACAAACTTTTCTACGGAAGCGTATAAGTGCCACTTGGTCACTTTATTTTTAAATTTATACACTTGAATTTGTAAAATTTACACTTTTATCTGTTAAAGTTACACTTTAATCTGTGAATTTTACACTTTAATCTGTGAATTTTACACTTTAATCTGTAAAATTTACACTTTAATCTGTAAAATTTACACTTAAATATGTGAAATTTATACTTTAATCTGTAAATTTTGCACCTTAATCTGTAAATTTTACACTTTAATCTATACAATTTACACTTTAATCTGTAAAGTTAACAGTTTAATCTGTAAAATTCACTTTAATCTGTAAAATTTACACTTTAATCTGAACAACCTATACTGTAATCTGTTATAATCAAACGGTCGATTCGTGATGTTTTACCTATGACGCTTGAAAAAAAAGCATAAAACTGAGATGTTCACAATTGTTTGCATATTTTTTATATATACATGTATACTAGAATAAGCTAAATAAGGATGGACTTATATTCTTAAAAATAATGATACAGAATTCAAAATTCCTTCTATTAGAACTACATCATATTATTATCATTATTAGGGTCTTCCGTCTTCAGCGGAAGACCCTTCTATTATTCTTCGGTTTCATTTTTACCTTTATTAGGGTCTTTCGTCTTAAGCGGAAGACCCTTCTATTATTCTTCGGTTTCTTTTTACCTTTATCATTATTATTATTATTAGGGTCTTCCGTCTCCAACGGAAGACCCTTCTATTATTCTGTTGTTTCCTTTTCACTTTTATGATTAGGGTATTTTGTCTTCAGCGGAAGACCCTTCTTTTATTGTAAAGTTTCTTTTTCTTATTATGGTCTTCCGTCTTCAGCGGAAGACCTTCTTGTGATTCTTCGGTTTCTTTTTCACTTTTTTCTTCCATATTATTAAGGTCTTCCGTCTCCAACGGAAGACCTTATTGTTTTCGTTCGGTTTCTTTTTCCCAATTATTATTATTCTTACCGATTTTGTGCACGCGATTTCTCGAAAACGACTGGGTCGATTCTCATGAAACTTTGACATCTGATAGGTACTTACCTGAACCTTATTGGACATTTTTTTGGTGATGACGTCACTTCCGGTCTTGAGATATTGACAATTTCCTGATTTTGAAATGCAATTTTGTCGCAACTTAGTAGCAAAATCTGCTTAAGATATGAACTGGAGACTTATTGGAGATGATAGTTCATGACTTATAGCTTTGCAGAATCATCTTTCCGTGTGTCGTCAATACTTAGTGTCGCTACCGGAAGCGAATTTAAAACACGCAATTTTTTAACTTTTGTTTTTTGATATTTTTGTTTTTGAATTGAATAAAGACTCTTTTGCAGAAGCGAAATATGTATTTTGTTTTAAAATCGAAAAAGCCAATCTCGAGATATTAGCATTTGAAAATTCGATGCGGCGATCCCAATGGCTAAATGGTTAGCGCGTTGGATTTTCACGCGGGCGACCTTGTTTCGATCCCCCGAATGTCCAAAACATTTTATCATTTTTTTCTGCTCGATTTTTCGTTTTTTTTTAATTTTAGACGATTTGCAACAATATATTTTAAAGTTTTAATCATATGTTGCTTAATTAGGGGTCACAAGGGGCCAGAATGCTACATCTTTGACGCTTTATATCTCGAAGAGGGGGAGTATTTTGATAAGCAATATTGAACAAATGATGGCAAGAATAATGTTCTAAACAATATGCATACTTCGAATTTTTGTAAAAATGGCCCCATTAAGGACTTGTAGGGATGGCCCCTAAATATTTCCATTCAGCATATCTCCATAACGGAAAGTAATCTCTGAATAAATGTTGAACCAAAAAGATTTAAAATCACAAGACCTTTCATTTGATATCAAGAAAAAGGGGCTGACTCCTCAAATTACGGACTCAGAGGGGCCAAATACATTACAGAAGCAAAGATATTCATCTTAACAATTCGCAATAGTATATTGTAAAATTTTGATCATATGTTATGTAATTAGGGGTCACATGGGGCCAGAATGCTAAATATTTGACGCTTTATATCTCGAACAGGGGAGTATTTTCTTAAGCCATATTGAACAAAAGATGTGCAAGATATTGTAATATTAATCAGAAAAATTAAATTTAATGAAGGAAAAGTTAATGTCATTCTCTTTTTACAGATAGCTCAGTCAAAATCACATCTCATCTTATCGAGAAATTCAACGGAAGACCTACTCGTTGCTCGCAACGAGATCGTATCCAGTTAAGGTCTTCCGTCTCCAACGGAACACCTTAATGTTTTCGTTCGGTTTCTTTTTGCCTATTATTATTATAATTCTTACCAATTTTGTGCACGCGATTTCTCAAAAACGACTGGATCGATTCTCATGAAACTTTGACATCTGATAGGTACTAATCTGAACCTTATTGAAAATCTTTTCTCTTGATTAGGTCACTTCCGGTCGTGAGATATCGACTATTTCCTGATTTTAAAATGCAATTTTGTCTGAACTTATTACGGAAAATTGCTTAAGATATGAACTGGAGACTTATTGGAAATGATCGTTCATGACTAATAGCTTTGCAGAATCACCCTTCCATGTGTCGTCAATACTTCCGGTCGTTACTGGAAGCGAATTAAAAAACGCAATTTTTTAACTTTTGTTTTTTGATATTTTTGTTTTTGAATTGAATAGAGACTCTTTTGCAGAAGCGAAATATGTAATTTGTTTTAAAATCGAAAAAGCTAATCTCGAGATATTTGCATTTGAAAACTCAGAGGTGATTCCAATGGCTAAATGGTTAGCGCGTTGGATTGTCACGCAGGCGACCCGGGTTCGATCCCCCGTGTGTCCAAAAATAATTATCAATTTTTCTGCTCTTTTTTCGATATTTTTTTAATTTTAGACGATTTGCAACAATATATTTTAAAGTTTTAATCATATGTTGCTTAATTAGGGGTCGCAAGGGGCCAGAATACTAAATCTTTGACGCTTTATATCTCGAAAAGGGGGAGTATTTTGATAAGCAATATTGAACAAAAGATGGCCAGAGTAATATTTTAAACAATATTCATACTTTGAATTTTTGTAAAATGGTCCCATTAAGGACTTGAAGGGATGGCCCCTAAATATTTCAATTCAGCATATATCCACAACGAAAAGAAATCTCTGAATAAGTGTTGAACAAAAAGTCTTTGAAATCACAAGACCTTTCATTTGATATCAAGAAAAAGGGGCTGACTCCTCAAATTAGGGGTTCAGAGGGGCCAAAAGTCTTTTATCTATAAATCTCTAATGATCAATATTTTGTTATACATTACTGGGGCAAAAGTATTCATCTTAACGATTTGCAACAATATATGATAACATTTGGATCATATGTTACTTAATTAGGGGTCACAAGGGGCCAGAATGTCAAATCTTTGACGCTTTATATCTCAAAAAGGGGGAATATTTTGATAAGCAATATCGATCAAAAGATGGTCAGAATAATGTTCTAAACAATATTCATACTTTGAATTTTTGTAAAACGGCTTCATTAAGGACTTGTAGGGGTGGCCCCTAAATGTTTATGTGAAGCATATCTCCAGAAGGAAAGGAAATCTCTGAATAGGTGTTGAACAAAAAGTCCATGAAATCACAAGACCTTTCATTTGGTATCAAGAAAAAGGGGCTGACTCCTTAAATTAGGGGCTTAAAGGGGCCAAAAGTATTGCATCTGTACCTCTTTAATGATCAATATTTTGTTATACATTACAGAAGCAAAGATATTCATCTTAACGATTTGCAACAATATTCATGTATTATAAAATTTTGGTCATATCTTACGTAATAAGGTGTTGCAAGGGGCCAAAATGCCATATTATGTTCCCCAAACGAAGTTGGGGAACATATTGTTTTTACTCTGTTTCTTATTATGTTCCCCAAACGAAGTTGGGGAACATATTGTTTTTACTCTGTTTTTAGGTCACCTGAGTAACTCAGGTGACCTATTGCTATCCGTTTTCGTCCGTCGTCGTGTGTCGTGTGTCGTGTGTCGTGCGTCGTGCGTCGTGTGTTAACATTTGAACATTTTCAGCTTCTTCTCTGAAACCACTGAACCAATTTCAACCAAATTTAGTATACAGCATCTATGGGTGAAGGGGAACAAAATTTGTGAATTTTATGGTCCCCGCCCCCCTGGGGCCTGAGGGGTGGGGCCAAAACCACTAAAAGTATTGCAATCTTTAAAAATCTTCTTCTTTACTCCTGGACATCAAGCAGGCAAACTGTTGGCATGAATGTAATGAGCATTGAGTCCTCTACCAAAATTGTGAAATTCATGGCCCCAGGGTCAGGGGTTCTAATGCTAGGGCGGGGCTATATAGATTATACAGTGAAAATGCATGATTTCTTTGAAAATCTTCTTCTCTGCTCCTGGGTATTAAGTAAACTAACTAAGTACATAGTTATGATGAGCAAGAGTGCCTCTTCCAAAATTGTGAATTTTATGGCCCCAGGGTCAGGGGTTCTGGTGTTAGGGCGGGGCACTATTGGTTATATAGTGAAAATGCATTTATTCTTTGAAAATCTTCTCCTCTGATTCTGGGTATTAAATAAACTAACTAAGTACATAGTTATGATGAGCAAGAGTGCCTCTTCCAAAATTGTGAATTTTGTGGCCCCAGGGTCAGGGGTTCTGGTGTTAGGGCGGGGCACTATTGATTATATAGTGAAAATGCATTTATTCTTTGAAAATCTTCTCCTCTGATTCTGGGTATTAAATAAACTAACTAAGTAC